TATTTGGTGAATATCTACCACATGCAGGAAATTGTGCTGATTGCTGAGAAAAAGCGGTGAACAGAAAGACAAGGTCCCTGCCCTCATGGACTTCCTCTGGGAGGCAGGACAAACATATAAATATGTGGACAGTACAAATCAAACAGTGCCAGATGAGGTTACATAGCCCAGGGGAGGAAATCCAAACTGTGCTTCTGTGAAGGGGAAAGGAGGGCAGGAAAGCTTTTGAGAGGAAGTAGCGGCTGAGTGCAGTGGCTCATGCCTGTAATCCCAGCACTTTGGGAGGCCAAGGTGGGTGGTTATGAGGTCAACAGTTCAAGACCAGCCTGACCAGCATGGTGAAGCCCCATCTCTACTAAAAATACAAAAATGAGCCAGGCGTGGTGGCTTATGCCTGTAATCCCAGCTACTTGGGAGGCTGAGGCAGGAGAATTGCTGGAACCCGGGAGACGGAGGCTGTGGTGAGCTGAGATCGTGCCACTGCACTCCAGCCTGGGTGACAAAGTGAGTCTCCAACTCAAAAAAAAAAGAGAGAGCAAGTAGCATTTACACTGGGACTTAAATTCAGCCATTCCACAATACATTCATATTTCGAAGCATCATGTTATACACATGTAAATATATACAATTTTTGTTTGTCAATTAAAAAAATAAAAACGTTGAGATTTGAGGGTGAAAGCAAGACACTCCTTTAAGCTGACATTCTTCAAATATTTGCTCTCTGGTTATTTAGAGCAGGGGCTGGGAAGGAGGCACAGATAACCGCACTTAGTCTCTCAATGGTCCTGACCTCTTGGGCCCTGGACAAACCTGTAGACCCCACAAGGCCCACTAATCGGTGTAGCTCCGAATGTTACTTAGGCTGGCCCCTGACCTCCCAGCCCCAAACCTTATCCACATTTGTCTTTCAACAGTATACAGAACTCTCCTGGAAAGGAGTGCTAGTGAGTAGAATATTCTCCAATGTATGTAGGAGCCTAAGTGCCAGGCACCATGCTAGGCACTGGGGATGTGGCCATGAAGAAAACATGCAGTATACATGGTGCGTCTTAGTCTTCATGCTGCTATAACAAAATACCTTAGACTGAGTACTTTATAAGCAATAGAAATTTACTTCTCCCAATCCTACAGACTGGGAATACCAAGATCAAGGTGCCAGCAGATTCCATGTCTGGTGAGAGCTGCTCTCTCTGCTTCCTAGATGGTGACTTGGTGCTACATCCTTACAAGGCAGAACTGAAAGGGCAGAAAGGGATGACTAGCTCCCTTGCACCCCTTTCATAAGGTTGCTAATCCTACCCATGATGGCTCCACCCTCATGACTTAATCACATGCTAAAGGCCATGCCTCTTTATACTATCACACTAGCAATTTAGTTTTAACATACGAATTTTAGGGGGACACATGGAGACCATAGCACAGTGCCTGCTCTCATGAAACTTGCCTTCTTATTTACACACACAGTGATCATGGAAAGAGACACATAAATGCAGTTCTGGAAAGTGCTATGCAGGAGAAGTTCTAGGGGCCATGAGACTTACTAGGAGGCAGGGAGGAGGTAGTATGGGCCATGGAAGGCCTCTGAGCGTGTGATACTTTTTTGGGGGGGACACAGTCTCACTCTGTTGCTCAGGCTGGAGTGCAGTGGCGCGATCTCGGGCTCACTGTAACCTCTGCCTCCCCAGTCAAGTGATTCTTCTGCCTCAACCTCACAGGCGGCTCGGGACTACAGGCACACACCACCTGGCTACGTTTTTGTATTTTTGGTAGATACAGGGTTTCGCCATGTTGGCCAGGCTAGTCTTGAACTCCTGGCCTCAAGTGATCCACCCACCTTGGCCTCTTGAAGTGCTGGGATTACAGGCATGAGCCACTACACCCAGCCACATGTGACACTTATGCTAAGAAATGACCAAGAAGCAGAAATGAGCTAAGTGAGCAGCAGGGGGAGGCACATGCTCGGCAGGCAGGACAGCCTGTGCCAGCTGCTCTATGCAGGCCTCAGCTGGAAGTTTCAATCAAGAACTGGGGAGAGACGATGGGGAGAGGAAGACACTAGGAAGCTCCACTATGGCTTTAAGCTTTTATTTCCAAAGCCCAGCTTTATCAGTAATAAGGTCCAGATTTTTATTTCTCTATTGCCTTGATTGCCATTTGGATTTCCTAATAGGTCCAGATCCCAACTGGAGAGGGAAGAAGTTGTGTGAGTTTTGGCCTTAAAATCCCTACACAAGGCAGGGGTGAGATCCTGCAGGGTCTCACAGACCATGTTATAGCTTTGGGGATAAAAGCAACAGGTCAGCAAGGGTCTTTTTTTTTAATTGTGGTAAAACAGAGATAATATAAAATTAGCTGATTTAATCATTTTAACTGTATAGTCCAACGGCATTAAGTACATTCATACTGTTGTGTAACCATCACCACCATCCAGAACTTTTTTTTTTTTTTTTTAATTTGAGACAGAATCTTACTCTGTGGCCCAGGCTAGAGTGCAGTGGTGCGATCTCGGCTCACTGCAAACTCCACTTCCTGGTCAAGCAATCCTCCCACCTCAGCCTCCCAAGTAGCTGGGACTACAGGCATGTGCCACCATGTCTGGCTAATCTTTGTATTTTTAGTAGAGACAGGGTCTCACCATGTTGGCCAGGCTGGTCTCAAAATCCTGACCTCAAGTGATCTGCCCGCCTCAGCCTCCCAAAGTGCTGGGATTACAGGCATGAGCCCCTGCGCCTGTAATTTTTGTTTTTTTGTGTCTGGCTTATTTCACTTAGCACAAGGTCTTCAAGTTTCACTCATGTTGTAGCATGTGTCAAAATTTCATTCCTCTTTAAGGCTAAGCAGTATTCTGTTTTGTGTATATATTTTATTTTGTACATCCATTAATCTGTCAGTCACCAAAGTGATTTAAGTAGAGATTTTATTTATTTTATTTTTATTTTTCTGAGGCAGGGTCTTGCTCTTTACCCAGGGTGTAGTGCAGTGACATGATCACAGTTCACTGCAGCCTTGACCTCCTGGGCTCAAGCGATCCTCCCATCTCAGCCTCCCAAGTAGCTGAGACCACAGGCGCATGCCACCATACCCAGCTAATTATTTAATTATTTATTGTGGAGACATGGTCATACTATATTGCCCAGGCTGCTCTTGAACTCCTGGGCTCAAGATATCCTCCTACTTTGGCTTTCCAAAGTGTTGGGATTATAGTTGTGAGCCACCACATTCAACTAGGTAGAGACTTTAAACACGATCATATGTCTACTTTAAAAGATCATTTGAGGCCGGGTGTGGTGGCTCACACCTGTAATCCCAGCATTTTAGGAGGCTGAGGCAGGCAGATCATTGGAAGTCAGAAGTTTGAGACAAGCCTGGCCAACATGGTGAAACTTCGCCTCTACTAAAAATACAAAAATTAACCGGGCGTGGTGGCACATGTCTGTAATCCCAGCTACTCAGGAGGCTGAGGCAGGAGAATCACTTGAACCCAGGAGGCGGAGATTGCAGTGAGCCGAGATTGTACCACTGCACTCCAGCCTGGGCAATAGAATGAGACTCAGTTTCAAAAAACAAAAACATGCTAACTGGCAGGTGGAGAGTGGATCAAGAGTGGGAAAGAGGGCAAGAAGAGATGAGTTGCAAAGGTTCAGGCAAGAGATGACAGTGGTCTGGATCAGGCTGTGATGGAGGCGATGGGAAGAAGTAGATTTAAGAGCAGGTGGGAGATTGCACAGGATCTGGTGTTTGGAAGTTTGGGGTGGGAAGGAGGAATAGCCAAGTAACTACTGGACTTAAGGAAAACTCATAGCTCCTCGTAGGCTCAGAGGGGTCTGTTAAACTGAAGATAAGGGTGCCCTCTCTGAGACACCAAGAAACTTTCTGATGATCATTTGGCTTCCCCTGTGGCTTTCTAACAAAGGGAGGACACACCAGTCTTTTGATAAACACACATTCTTGCATAGTTGACAAAGTTTATCTTTGTAAACTCACAGATTGTCATCTGCTTTATGATTGAGTCAGACTCTGTTGCTTGGTTATTTGTAAAACCCAGTGAATCTCCTCTTAGTGTACCACAAAAAGAGTTTTGACACTGTAAAGTTAAGGCCCAAACTCCCTATTATGGCAGTTTCTCCAAGAGAGTCTTTTGGGTCTTTCTCATGCTGTCCAGACTTCTCATGGAGACACCCTTCTGGACCACTGTATTATATGCTGAGTATTCAAGTTCAGACAGGGATAGGGAGGTAGACAGTTGAGCTCAGCTGGACACCGTAGTGGTGCTATGCATCTAAAGCTTGCTCCTCCAGTTAACTGGCACATCATTCACTCTGGTGCCACGCACTCAGGAAAGCAATCTGTCAGTATTTACCAAGAATGCTTTCAATAATCAGTCCTCTTTCTGAGAGTCTGTAGCCTAAGAAAATTATTTAAAATGCGACATTCAATGTAGCATTTTTTGTTTCTCAGTTCAAGTTTAATACAAACTGCAGAAGATCAATAGGTTGACGACCTCTACTGATACATCATACACATCAGTGCCATTCCTACCGAAGGAAGAAAGGCTGGTCTCTCCACCCTCTGAAGGAAAGTCCTGCCTTAAAACACACCACAATTTGGCTGAATCTGAAGTCTTGTGTTTTACTCACGGAAAAAAAAAAATACAGATGGGTGTGGTGGCTCACGCCTGTAATCCCAGCACTTTGGGATGCCAAGGAAGGCGGATCATGAGGTCAGGAGTTCGAAAGCAGCCTGACCAACATGGTGAAACCCTGTCTCTACTAAACATACAAAAATTAGCTGGGCATGGTGGAAGGTACCTGTAATCCCAGCTACTCAGGAGGCTGAGGCAAGAGAATCGTTTGAACCCAGGAGGTGGAGATTGCAGTGAGCTGAGATCACGCCACTGCACTCTGGCCTGGGCCACAGAGCAAGACTCCATTAAAAAAAAAAAAAAAAAAGAGGTTTTGTTCTCATGGCTGCCCACTACTTGCACTAAAACAGCCCAGCACTCACTTCTGCTTGGAGAAATATTCTTTGCTCTTTTGGATATCGGGCTTGATGGTATCACTGCCAGGCTTTTAGCCAGTTGGGTACACTTCCCCGTGTTTGTCATTGAACTACAAGGCCTGAACTAGTCTCAAAGTCTCATCCACAGAGCAGCCAACAGGGAGGCACTTTACAATGATCTGCAGAAGAATACCCTTATCATCAATGATAAAGAGGACCCTGAATGAGATGCCTTCATCAGCCTTTAAGACCTCATAATCAGCCGGGTGTGGGGGCTCACACCTGTAATCCCAGCACTTTGGGAGGCTGAGACCAGTGGATCACCTGAGGTCAGGAGTTCAAGACCAGCCTGACCAACACGGTGAAACTCCGTCTCTACTAAAAATATAAAAATTAGCCGGGCATAGTGGCGGGTGCCTGTAATCCCAGCTACTCAGGAGGCTAAGGCAGGAGAATCACTTGAACCTGGGAGGCAGAGGTTACAGTGAGCTGAGATTGTGCCACTGCACTCCAGCCTGGGCGACAAAGTGAGACTCCGTCTCAAAATAAAAAACAAATCCCGTAATCCTGAGCAATGGTGCAATTCGGGTCTGATGCCAAAGGAATGTCCATGGGTCCCCATCTTCCTTGTTTCTTAGGTGTGTTGATCCATGCCAGGTGACAGAAGTGAGAATCCACAGAAGCACCAATCACTTGGCAGTTGAGTTTCTGAAATTTTTCTGCCCTGTCACTGAAAGCAGTGATCTCTATGGGGTACACAAAGGTGAAGTCAAGAGAGTGAAAGAAGAACACAACATGTTTTCCTTTGTAGTCAGACAGGCTGATAGCTTTAAACTGACCATTTGGCATAACGGCTGTGGCTTTGAAACTGGGGGCAGGGTGCCCAATTTTACCATTTCCTGAAGACATCTTCCTATCTGCAGTCCTGACACAAGCCTCTGAGAACAAATCACCAACTCCAGGCAGGAAGAGGACACTCAACGTAGCATTATTATTATTATTATTATTATTATTGAGATGGAGTCCCACTCTGTCACCCAGGCTGCAGTGCAGTGGTGCGATCTCAGCTCACTGCAACCCCCGCCTCCTGGGTCAAGCAATTCTCCTGCTTCAGCCTCCCGAGTAGCTAGAATTACTGGCACATGCCACCATGCCCAGCTAATTTTTTTGTATTTTTAGTAGAGACCAGGTTTCATCATGTTAGCCAGGCTGGTTTTGAACTCCCGACCTCAGGTGATTCGCCTGTCTTGGACTCCCAAAGTGCTAGGATTACAGGTGTAAGCCATCATGATTGGCCCAGTGTAGCATTATTGATAACAGTGAGAAACTGAAAGCAAAACAACATGTGTCTGATACATCCATAGGCTAGAATATTCTGCAGCCATTAAAAAGTGGACATTCTCAAAAGAGTGGATCTTGTTCTTAAACAGGTGAAACTAATCCCTGTTGATAGAAGCCAGAAGGTTGCATGAGGGGAAGAAAGGTAGTTATTGACTGGGAAGGTGAAGGAATCATCTGGAGCATTGGAAATGTTCTGTATCTTGAGATGTGTAGTGGTTAAGTGGTAACTACACACATGAACATTGAGTGAACTTCATATTTTATATGTGTGTATTCTTGACAAAAACATATTGAATTATTATAGAAAATGCTTAGGATAAAATGTTAAATGAAAAAAAGTCCCGGCTGGGCGCAGTGGCTCACGCCTGTAATCCCAGCACTTTGGGAGGCCAAGGCGGGCAGATCACCAGGTCGAGAGATCAAGACCATCCTGCCCAACATGGTTGAAATCTCATCTCTACTAAAAATACAAAAATTAGTTGAGTGTAGTGGCATGCACCTATAGTCTCAGCTACTTGGGAGGCTGAGGCAGAAGAATCACTTGAACCTGGGAGGCGGAGGTTGCAGCGAGCCAAGATCGCACCATTGCACTCCAGCCTGATGACAGAGGGAGACTCCATCTCAAAAAAAAAAAGAAAAAGAAAAAAGTCCCAAAGTTACATAACTTTTTTTTTTTTTTTTTTTTAAGAAATAGGGTTTCACCATGTTGGCCAGGCTGGTCTTGAACTCTTGGCCTCAAGTCATCTGCCCACTTTGGCCTCTCAAAGTGCTGGAATTACAGGCCTGAGCCATTGTGCCCAGGCTTTTTTGTTTTTTTTTTTGAGATGGAGTCTCACTCTGTCACCCAGACTAGAGTGCAGTGGCACGATCTAGGTTTACTGCAACCCCTGCCTCCTGGGTTCAAGCCATTCTTCTGCCTCAGCCTCCAGAGTAGCTGGGATTACAGGCATGTACCACCACACCTGGCTAACTTTCGTAGAGGGGGTTCTGTAGAGAGGGGAGGGGGGTTTTGTCATGTTAGCCAGGCTGGTCTCAAACTCCTGGTCTCAAGTAATCTGCCCACCTCAGTCTCCCGAAGTGCTGGATTACAGGCGTAAGCCACCATGCCCAGGCTAAGTTTTACAACTTTTAAGCATATGTTGGTTACGATGTTATAAAAATGATAAACAGGAAAAAATCTAAAGAAAATAGAGTGAATGATGTTAGTGGTTGTGCTGAGTGGTATGGTTACAGGAGACTGTTTTTTGAAATTTCTCTGATGAATGTCTTCTTTCCATTCTATCCATGATTCTGTATGTAACTTCATTTGGAAACAGCAGCTAACACTGATAGAATGCTTATTCTGTGCCAGGCTTCACACTTACAGAAATGTCTGCATTTATCAACTCATTGCATTTTTGCAAAAACCCTATGAAGTTTTATCACTATTTTACAGACAGAGAAACTGAGGCACAGAGAGGTTAGGGAACCTGCCCAAGGTTAGGCAGCATTAAGTGGCAGCCCTGTGGCCAGACACTGTGGCTCATGCCTGTAATCCTAGCACTTTGGGAGGCGGAGGTGGGTGGATCACGAGTTTGAGACCAGCCTAGCCAAGATGGTGAAACCTCATCTCTACTAAAAATACAAAAATTAGCTGGGCACAGTGGCAGGCACCTGTAATCCCAGCTACTTAGGAGGCTGAGGCAGGAGAATCACTTGAACCCGGGAAGCGGAGGTTGCAGTGAGCTGAGATCTCGCCACTGCACTCTAGCCTAGGTGACAGAGCAAGACTCTGTCTCAAAAAAAAAAAAGTGGCAGCCTTGTGGGGGTGGCCCAGCAGCAGTCTGGCTCCAGAGCCTGCAGGCTTAGCTATTATGCCCCCCTGCCACTCAGAAGCCAAGGTCAAAAGCCTAACTTTGAGGCCTCCATGACAGAGAGGCTCTGGACAAATGGGCTGCGCCGCTGTCCTCTCCCTGTGATTGTCCCAGTTTCCTGCAAGACTCCAAATGTCAAGCACCTGCAAGGAGTGAAGGGAGGAGAGAGGGATGGAGAACCAGCGAGCAGAGGAGAAGAGGAGAGCAGAGGCGGAAAGGTCCTGCCTTCTCAAAGCAGAACCTTGCCTTCCCTGGGCAGCAACAGATGATCCTGTTACCTCATTCTAGAAGCCTGGGGATGGCCCCTCTCCCAGCTCGCCCTGCCCCTGCCCCCTGGGGCCATCACAAGGCCTGGGCCAACAGCCCTGGGCCTGCTGTTTATCCACCAGAAATGTGGCTTCCTGGAAGCTCTCCCCCTCCCTTTCTGCCCCATCCTAGTCGACTCTGTTCCTGGAAGTTGAAGAAACCTGGCACAGAGCTTCCCTTGCGTACCAGCCAGCCAAAGCAGCATATCTCCCTCCGGCTCTTACCACCCACAAGATGAAAGAAGATGAGGGTTTAGTGCTGCTGGAAGAGAGGATTTGGATTTCTCTCTGCAGCTCACTTGCTGTGTGGCCTGGGGCAAGTTACTTGACCTCTCGCAAGACTCAGTTATTTCATATATGAAATGGAGATACTAAAAGTACCTGAAGGGCTGGCTGGAGGACTGAATGCAACAATGTGGGTGACGCATTTGGCACGGAGGCCTGGCAGAGTACAGCACTCAAAACAGGGTAGCTATGGTTATTACTATTACTATCCTGCCACCCTCATTCTCTTCAGGGGCACTGAGGGGTTGGAGAATGGCTGAGAAGGTACGCCAATGCCTTGGCTGCCAGTAGGAAACGCCTTTCTTATCAGCGTAGACGTCAGAGTCTGACAGAGTTGAGTTATTAATACCCAGCCAGCCCACCAGTTTTGCATCTAGCATTCCGAGGTGGAGAGATGGGGAGGGGAGAGCTGGGGAACAGGTGGCCAGGGCAGGAGAAGGAGCCGCTGGCCTCCCTTGCCATGGGAACTGTCCTTCCCAGCAGGAAGTACTTGGCGCCTTCTCTGCCAGACACCCTCCACCTGCACTCTAAGGTCTGGGAAGGCGTGAAATTCCTGCAGGAAGTCAAACCCCAGCCAGGCTGTCATCTCCTCAGTCCCCTGTGGGCACAGCACTGTCCTTCCAGGGATCCAATGCCCAAGAGAGCAGCGCCCCCCCAGAAGGAACAAATTCAGGCATGGAACTGGACTCTCAAAGCTGGAAGGAGGATTAAAGGACCTCCATCTTCCTTAGGGGTTTAGACACACTGTCTGCACTCAGGCAGTGATCCGGAAAATCTACATCGTTCAGCCTCAGTTTCCTCAGCGGTTAACTGGGAATAATATTAAGTTTGTAGCTGGGCGACGTGGCTCAGGTTTATAATCCCAGCACTTTGGGAGGCAGAGGAGGGCAGATTACCCGAGGTCAAGTGTTCAAGACCAGCCTGGCCAACATGGTGAAACCTTGGCTCTACAAAAAATACAAAAAATTAGCTGGGTGTGGTGGCTGGCGCCTGTAATCCCAGCTACTTAGGAGGCTGAGGCAGGAGAATTGCTTGAACCTGGGACAAGGAGGTTGCAGTGAGCTGAGATTATGCCATTGCTCTTCAGCCTCATCAATAAAAGTGAAACTCTGTCTCAAAAAAAAAATTAAGTTTGAATCTCGGGACCCTCAACTAACTGTGCCAAAAGGGAAAGTTAAGCTTGGAAACCGAGTCACACACAAACAATTGCCTTTTCTCCTCTTCTTAAACAGATATCTCCCCAGGTGGCCTCCCTCATCCTGGCAGTGTAAATGAGCAGCTTATCTTCTCAGGTATGGGACAAAAAGAGACTAGAAATAGTCCCACCGCCCACCCCAGAGGATGCAGATTTGACTTCTCCCTCTGCTGTATGTTTACTTTACTTTATGTAAAGTGTAGATTTACTGAGCACATTGTGCATGAGAGGAATACATAATTTTTCTTTTTCTTTCTTTTTTTAATTTTTTTTTTTTTTTTATGAAGATGGGGTTTCACCATGATGGCCAGGCTGGTCTTGAACTCCTGACCTCAGGTGATCCACCCACCTCGGCCTCCCAAAGTGCTAGGATTACAGGCATGAGCCACTGCACCCGGTCTTCTTTTTTTTTTTTGAGATGAAGTCTCACTCTGTCACCCAGGCTGGAGTGAGTGGCATGATCTTGGCTCGCTGCAACCTCCATCTCCCAGGTTCAAGCAATTCTCCTGCCTCAGCCTCCCGAGCCTCTGGAATTACAGGCATGCACCACCACATCTGGCTAATTTTTGTATTTTTTGTAGAGACGGGGTTTCACCATGTTTGCCAGGCTGGTCCGGAACCCCTGACCTTAGGTGATCCACCCATCTTGGCCTCCCAAAATGCTAGAATTACAGACATGAGCCACCACACCCCCACCTGGCCAGAATACAGACTGTTCCTCTATCCCCTCCTTTTCACATGCAACATGTGGATTCAGTGACACTTCAGCAAGCCTCAAAATAACATAACCACTTGTCTCATTTTTTGTACCCTCCCTTTTATTTTTCTTTCTTCCTTTCTCTCTGGCTCACTTTTCCCCTTTTCAACACTGAAGCCTTTAGGACACTCTTGGAAATACTGCTGGCCACAGATGCTACTGTGGCTTGTTTCTCTCTCTCTCTCTTTTTAAAAAAAGAGACAGGGTTGCAGCCGGCTGTGGTGGCTCACGCCTGTAAT